GCTAGGGTTTAGGGTTTAGGGTTTAGGGTTTAGGGTTTACCTTGGTGTTTTAACTTCTGTCTTTGGTTCCTCAAACCCTGATTTAACCATCCACCAACCAACTAAACCCTGGATACCTCCAAGTACTCCGCATACTGAGCACATAATAAACCCTAAACCCTAAACCCTAAACCCTAAACCCTAGATGGGAGGTTTATAAGGAGGAAAAGGAAGAGGAGGAAGAGGAGGAGGAGAGGACGTATATATATATAAACACTAGATAGAGAAGAAAGGGTTTATTATAAATATAAATGTATATATTATCTAAGTATAATAAATTAGGGTTTAGGGTTAATTTAGGGTTTAGGGTTTAGGGTTTAGATATACATGCAAGTTGTATAGCAAGGGTTTTCTTAATATATTGTTGTATAATAAAAAACCCTAAACCCCCAAGGAAGCAAAACCCTAAACCCCTCGCTAGGTGTCTGTGTATCCATTCAATTAAATATATTTTCTTGTATTCTTCTATTGTTATTCCTTTATTTATTTGTTTATATTCAGGGGTTTGCTGCAGCAGCAGCAGCAACAGCAGCAGCAGCAGCAGCAGCAGTAGCAGCAGCAGGAGCAGCAGCAGCAGCAGAAGCAGAGAAAAAGAGATGCATAAGGATGATGTATTAAACCCTAAACCCTAATATTTAATCCTTGCCCTCTCCCACCTAGGGTTTAGGGTTTAGGGTTTAGGGTTTAGGGTTATAGAAGTGTATTGGTGTTAGGCTGTATAGGATAACACATATCTTGTTAATATGTATTGCATGCATGCATAATTAGGGTTTAGGGTTTACTAGGGTTTATTAGGGTTTATTAGGGTTTATTAGGGTTTATGAGGGTTTATTAGGGTTTATTAGGGTTTACTAGGGTTTATGAGGGTTTATTAGGGTTTAGGGTTTATTATAGATAATAATAATATAATAATATAGGGTATAGGATATATTATAAACCCTAATAATATGGGGAATAAATAATGGTATTAAATTAGGGTTTAGGGTTTAGGGTTTAGGGTTTAGGGTTAATAATACTTTATATAAATTAAATTCTTGTATCCATTGGTGTTTTGTTGGCAAAAAAGAACCAATAAAACCCCAATTAGTCATCGATAAACCGCTCTCTGTTAATCGGGTAAACCCTCCATATATAATTAATATAAATAAATAACATATAGTACCTGAATAAACCCTAAACCCTAAACCCTAAACCCTAAACCCTAAACCCTAAACCCTAAACCCTAATTCTTCTTATTATTCATCAAATATTATATTATAATCATTAGTACTCATATAACAAAACAATAATCAACAATTATAAACCCTAATAAACCCTAATAAACCCTAATAAACCCTAATAAACCCTAATAAACCCTAATAAACCCTAAACCCTAATTATTCATAATATACCCTAGGGGTATAATCATAGAGCAGCACGTATGCACAGTATAAGGGATAAACACTAAACCCTAAACCCTAAACCCTAAACCCTAAACCCTAGACGTACCAAGGAGCCAAAACCCTACGGGGCGTCTGTATCCTTCCTTTACCAATCTGCGAATACACCAAGCAAAACATTATTAGCAAACCCTCTTGCTGCTGCTGCTGCTGCTTGTGCTGCTGCTGCTGCTGCTGCAGTAGGGTTTGGCTATACTTGCCTATTTGCCTCAGCAAAGGGAGAACATTCTTTTTGTTGTTTTTCTTCTTCCTTAAGATCCCTAACTTTATCCAATTTGCTGCTGCTGCTGCTGCTGTTGCTGCTGCTGCTGTTGTTGTTGTTGCTGCTGCTGTTGTTGCTGCTGCTGTTGTTGTTGTTGTTGCTGCTGCTGCTGCTGTCTAAAGAAGCAGTATTGTTAGTATAATTGGGGTGTATATACACCTCAGCATTATTAATTGATGAATTAAATCGTACATTCATCATCATAAAAATATTTTTGTTTATTTCTTTTTTTTCTTTGCATAAATTAAATAAATTATTAATTATAATTCTTTCTTTATAGTCTTTTTTTGCGGTGTACGTACACCTCAGAGGATTATACATCTGTAGGGGCCTCTGGTGTATATACACCCCAAAAGAAGAGGGGCCCCGGGGGCCCCCTAGGGGCCCCCGGGCACCCCATGATGTGCGCAACAACAGGGGAAGACGATAAACCCCGGCACCGTTCATGGCCGCCTAGGGTTTAGGGTTTAGGGTTTAGGGTTTAGGGTTTGAGTAGTCAATAGAAGCCATGGCGTACACCACCCCTCCTTCAAGACAAAATAGCAACGTAGCTGGATATACACCCCAATTAAAAATAAGAATTAAAATATAAAATAAATAAATAAATAAATAAAAATAACAATTTTATTCTTTTATTCCTTATATTGCAGCAAATAACAGCTGCAGGGTACCGATTGTGGGGGGCCCCCAGGGGCCCCCTAGGAGGCCCCCGAGTTGTACATGCTGTATATTGATGTATTAATAAGCAATGAATAAATAA